CAGGCGCACCGGCCCCTGAGGGCCATCGCCGCCACGTCGTGAGCCCGGGCGGCCATCTCCGGCGTGGGGAAAGTCCCCAACCAAATCCTTGTCTTCTTGTTGGGCTCCCTCACTTCACAAACCCACTTATCAGAGTTTCTCCTCCTGACTCCCCGGTACACCGGGTGGCGCGTCTCCTGGAACTTCTTCCGGCCCGCCCGCTTCTTCGGGTGCCTCACCGCCAACCGCACGTCCTCGCCGGGAAATGCGACGCCGCCGCGAGAGCCCCCGGAGGAAGCATGGTAGCCGTCAGAAGAGTGACTCAAGGTAAACATGTTAGTTAATGCTATGGTGGTGAAGCCAAATTAAGTTAAAAGGGTTTGGCTTGCACTAGAATGATGCAAAGGGTGTTATGATATTGTCTTGTTTTTTGTTGTGGTGATGGTTTGAGTTCTTGTGTTGGAGAGAAGGGAGAGTGAGGTGTGTAATAAATAAAGGGAAGTGAGGGAAGCATATATAGGTTTGATTTTGAGAGAGAAAGACGCCACACGGAGTGTGAGAGTGAGATTTTGAGTTCAGGGTTGTGAGGAGCCAGCTGGGTGGCTAGTTGTGATTGGCTTTTGACTCATTCTGAAAAGGAAAGAGGAAAGTGATGAGAAAAAGAGTGTGTGTGTGTGTGTGAGTGAGTAAGGGACAGAAAGAGGAAGTTAATGTGTCATGTGTGTGTTAGTTGATAGAGTCAAAGGATACTGTGTAGGATTTGGACCAGCAAAATAATAATAAAATAAAAACTTTTTCTCACCCATTTTCACTCCTTTAATTCTGAAATTTGTTCTACAATTTATTATATAAATAATATTATATATATAACAATACTGTAATTTTTTAATATTAATTACAAATTATCGTGTTTGATAAATTCAGTATTTCTAATAATCATTGTATAAAAAGCCATATTAAAATTTCTAATTAATTAATAATATAATTTTTAATACTTTTTTTATAACTATGTTTTTTACGTTAATTTTTTCGATGATTAATTTTTGTCAAAAAATTTGATTATTCACCTTTAATAAGATATTTTTTTAATCATTTTTTAATTTTTAAAATTCAATCAAATTAATTCGAGATCTTATTTAAAAAAATGAAATCAATTTACATTCTACCCACGAGATAGGGATAAAAATAGATTAAAAAAAATATTAAAGATTATTTTAGATCAATCAAAAAGTTAATTTAATTAATTTATTTAATAAAATGAGTCGGATTGTATATGATCAAACCTTGTGAAGAGTTAAAGAATGAAGAAATAAAATAAAAAAAGAAAAAAAAAGCATTAATTAGTGACTTATTAGTATAAAATGTTTATTATACTAAGATTACATGTTGATTAAATTAAATAAAAATTGAAAAGAGTTTGTATTTGCAGGAAAGTGAAAGCATATATGATAAGAGTGTTTTTTGTGAGTAACGTAAGGAATTGTGTAGGTAGGAGGAGGAGGAGGCAACTCAGCGAGAGTTGGATTCGCGTAGGGAAAGCGATGGAAAGACAACTATGGTACAGGTGTCAGGCTCTTTCACAACCACCACATGTTACAATTCCAACTTCCAAAGGATCATTAATTGCGCGTTTCTTTCTTTATTGCTGTCTGTTCCCGCGAGTGCATGCATACTTCGCAATTCGCATGTACTAAACTAGATACTTGCATTAACTTTAAAGGTCAAGCCAATGACTCTTCTTGGATTACCTTTACGTCAATATTCCCTACGGCCTAGGAATCACCCTCGGACACCATGAAAGAAGCTCACTAAAATTCTATTTAGAGTTTGTTTAAATCATTTTTAAGGAGAAAAATTAAGAAGATAAATAGACAGAAAGTTTGTTTGAATAAGTTTTTTTTATAAGTTATTTTAAGAAAAAAAAAATTTCATAAGTTAAAAGTAATTTATGTATGAATTAAAAGTTAATGAACTGAGTATCAAATTGTTTTTAAACTTTTTAAAAATTTATATATATTAAAAAATTTTAATTTAATGATTTGATTATTAAGATTTGATGTAAAATATGTGTTATTAAATACAGTAAGTTTAGGTAAACTTGCACTTGGAGTAAATTGATCTTTTTTCATATATATA